TGATTGGAGTGTTACGTTTGAGAAAAATACACTAAAGAGTTTTTACATTTGAAAAAAATACACTAAGAAGTTTTTTAATATGTTACATTGGAGTATTATGTTTGGAAAAAGTATATTAAGAAGTTTTCGTGTGTTATATTGATTGGAGTGTTATATTTGGAAAAAGTACACTAAAGAATTTTTTAATGTGTTGCATTGAAGTGTTAGATTGGAGTGTTATGTTTGGAAAAATTACACTAGGGAGGTTTTTTTTTTTTTTTTTTTTGAAGTGTTACGTTGAATAATTTCAAAATTATGAGAAAACCCACATTTTCACACTAGAATCGAACCATTGGGTTTATAAGTAAAAACTGAAGACCAAACAGTTCATAAGATCACTATTTGGAATTTATTGGTATTTCACCCCGAAAGAAAAAACTAAAATAAGTTTTCCATTGAGTTCCCATAAAGTTTTAATTTATATGATATTTAACCTTTTTTTCATTATAAATTTATTAGTCATATGAATGAAAAAAATTATATTGTTATCTCTTTTACACTTAAATGCAAACTCCACTCTGTTTATTTTCGTGTCTACACACCGTTTACATTAATTCTGATTTTTTTAGCCTCACTAAATGGGAGTGGGTGTAATTAATCCAAAATTATAGGCCTTGTTATATTTTCTCCAAATTTCAGGGAGGTCAGTGTAATTCATCCTCTCTTTTTTTTTCTTTATTGTTTTTTTTTTAATTATGCTCAAAAACTCTCTATTTTGGTCTTTTTTTTTTTGGGGGGGGGGGAGGTGTTCGTTTAGTCAAGTAGAGTTTAAGAAGGTAAATTTTAAAAAATAAAAATAACCTTATTAGAGATAGAAAACGGGTCAACGATAAAGTAATTATAAAATTAATCTCGAATTTTGATGGAGAATAGAAATTTATAATTAATGTAGAATATCAGGTGATAATATCAAGGAATGCCTTCTATAGACTACATGTACCCAAATATAAGGTGGTAGCACAAAATGAATAAGAGTGAAAAAGAGAGGTTTAATGGACTAGTAAAGTAGAGATGAACTTGTGAATTGATCTAATTTTTTTTTTCTTTTTTTTTATAAATGATGCATATGAAAGATTTAAAAAAAAAATGATTCATAGTATTAAAACTGATTTGAACCATACTTTATAAAAAAAAAGAAAAAAAAAATTAGATCAATGATTCATAGTATTAAAACTGATTTGAACCATACTTTTCCATCTAAATCTAAATTGGATAAAAACTCGACTCTCTTTCACAAAATATGTTAATCTCATTTCATATAAGATAATTACATTTAACTATTTTTTATTGAAGTCTATGTACATAAAGGACCCGTTTGGGATGAGCGTTTGGACTAAAATAGTCATATAGGACAAAATAGGCTATTTTAATTAAATAAGATAAAATGTCACATCCATCCCATAATCATTTCAGTTTTTCTCTCAGAAAAGTTAAAAAATTTAAAAAGCCTATCCCAAACTAGATTTTTTAGCCTTAGGCTAAAATAACTAAAAGTCAAAAAGCCAATCCACATTCTAAACGAACAGTAACGCCCTCAGAATAATACATATGAACCCAACATTCATGACATCCATAGACATAAGAGAATAAAGCATATTTCCATTTATCAGAGTATTCATTACGAAAGTATTACATGTTGACAACAAAAGTAAATGCCCTACAGGCTTACAACTTTTCAAGCCAACACTTGGTTACAAAAAGAAAGTACTAACTCAAAACACATTTAATCCCTTGGTTTGAATTTACATGTAATACCAAAAAGATAACAACAAAAAGATCTTTCAGCCTCTAAGCCTCCCAAGCTACGTCCTTGGAGGTGGCATATAACCTGAACCTAAAAATGATGTCCCATATAAGGTGAGCCAAAGCCCAGTAGAGATATACTAAACCAAATATGAGCAATAACTAAAACATTAGCATTCGATAAATGGTTAACACTTGTAAACCAATTTACAACACTTCCCAGTTCCATGACAAATACATCCGTGTTTCATTCCACTTTCCTTTACTTATCCAATTCAAATTCATAAACATGGCTCATTATCTACCCAACAATTAAATGAGACTATAACTCATATTAAAGCACTCCCATTATCCACAATTCAAATGAGACTACAACTCATATTAAAACGTTTCAATACTTCAATTATATACATTATGCAAATGTGATTAAGATTTCGAGACTTTCACCCTAGACAGTCCGGCCAACTTAGTTATCAATGGAGTCCATCCCCTATCTCCTCCCAAACAGGTTTGAGAGTCCCCCCCTATCTCCTCCCAAACCATGGAGTGCATCCCCTATCTCCTCCCAAGCAAGATACATATGCAACATATTTAAACAATTTATCATATACAATGATCAATCCAGACACATATTCAATGTGTTAATTCAACCGTCATATTCAATGACTTAACCATTTGATTAGTTTCAGTTTTCCCTAATCAATATACAGTGTCTACAACAATTAAGACTATCTTCCACCGATAGGCCAAAGTAGTTATGTCTAAACAGATAATAAATTCATCAAACAGATAAATTATAAACAATTTCTTAGGTGAGTGATTAACTAATCCAGCTACACCATTCAATCTCACAACTTCCCAATTTCATGATTTTCATCCCAATTTCACATTCTCATACTTTTCCAAATTAATTACACAAATTAATTTATCACATTAAATTAGGGCTTTTCCCCCATTTTTTCCCAACTTTGACCCTAAGGCTCATTGTCATCAATTCAACAACAATAATTTCATTTTCTAAGGTCTCATATGCACATGGAGTTTATTAATTAAAAAACCCCTTTTTTATATAATTTCAAAACAAACCCTTACTTTTCCAAAATCCCCAAACAACACTATCTAAACAAAATACCCAACATTTATGTCAAAACTCATAGAGAGGAGTAGGTTATCCCTACCTCAAATGGAGAGACCCAATGGAGAAGATGATGGAAACTCAAGATGCTCCAAACCTAATGATTTTCCGATCAAAACGTAGCCAACACCAAGCTTCACACTTTTTACAAAGGGACTAGAGTAGACACACCCAAGAACCAAGTGTATTTTTAGAGAGAAGGTGTATGTAGAGAGACAGAGAGTCGGATCTAGGGTTTGAAAGAAGAAGACAGAGAAAAAGTGAGTAAAAGCCCGCTGCTACAAACTGATATACTTGAGGCTCGCTCGATCGAAGGATTGGTCGCTCGAGCGACCAGACACAGATGAACCTTGCTCGAGCGCAGAAAGCCTCGCTCGAGCCAATAACACAAAGCTTCAGGTCTGTAACCCAGAAGCGTACTCGAGTGCAAGAATGCTCGATCGAGCGAAGAAACCCAAAACATATAGCTCGCTCGCTCAAGCCAAGAAACACAACTTTCAGGTCCAAACCAGACGCAGACGCACGCTCGAGTGCAAGAATGCTCGCTCGAGCCAAGAGACACAAACTCAAAGCTCGCTCGAGCGACAGAATCCTCGCTCGAGTGAAGACACTAAAAACTGGGCAGCAACACTTTGTTTCAAAACACACCCAACCTGTTACAAACTTGCCCAACACATCCTAAAACTCAAATACAAAGAATTAAAGGATGGAAATGCAACATATACAACAACAGACATCCACGGAACCGAGTCCGGAATATAATAACCAAAGGAGGGAAAACTGGGATCGCTATAACCTCTCCTCCTTAAAGAATTTCGTCCCCGAAATTAGTTTAAGTTTCAAAATTGTGATTTTTCAATTCTCAACAATGTTACAATTCAATATTCAATACCCTGACCCATTACCAGTCATCCCATTCTTTTCAAGAGGCAATTTACAATATAATTCAATATGCATTATCAACATGCTTTTCTTTAAAATTCAACAAATTCCAATACCATATTCCACCATTCCATAACATATTCAATGTTAATGATACATTTGCATTTCTACACTACATTCAACATATACAATGTCAAATTAAATTTTCACTCTCAAGGCATACTCAACCATTACAATACTTACATAAACTGAAACATATACAATGTTCTTAGAGTTTATCAACAAAACAAAGTTTCAATACATGGTTAAACATTAACAAACAAGTCTGGATATTTTTCACGGGCATCTAACTCACGTTCCCAAGTGGCTTCTTCTACACCGTGATGTTTCCACAAAACTTTTACCAAAGGAATTGTCTTGCCTCGCAAGACTTGGTCCCGTCTATCTAAGACTCTCACCGGTCTCTCTTCATACGAGGCATCCTCATCAACCTCTAAGTTGGTCAAATCCAATACATGAGATGGATCCAGCTTGTATTTCCGAAGCATACTAACATGAAACACGTCATGCACCCAGGACAGCTACGGCGGTAAAGCTAAACGGTATGCAACCTCTCCCCAATCCTTTCAAGGATCTCGAAAGGGCCAATAAATTGAGGGGACAACTTCCCACTCTTTCCAAACCTCATCAAACCCCGCCTAGGCGATATTTTCAAAAAGACATGATCACCCACCTCAAATGCCAAAGGTCTCCTCCTAGGTCGGCATAACTCTTTTGGCGACTCTGGGTTGTAACTAGCCTCTTACGGATAAGCTTAACTTTCTTCATCATGTAATGACCCCAAAATGCGTATAAGAAATCATCTTTATTTCCCTATGAAATGATGTGCTTTAATTTAATTATATCTATTAGAATTGAAGCATTATCAGTTGAGTTACGGACTTAAAATGGGAATTACCGACCTTTATGGGTTCAAAAATCAAAATTTCGTACTTGGATATGTTAATGAGAATTTTTGGAATTATTTGGAAAAAATTAATTTGAAATTTAATTTGTCTGATTCGTTAATGGACGTTTGGGTGATTAACTTTATACTGCAAATTAAAGGCCTTAAAGACTTCAGATACCGGAACAGGGGACATATTTATGATCCGCATAATTTTTAGAGTTATCTGGGAAGTTTAATTGAAATGTGATTTTGTGCGATTCGTAAGGGCGTGTTTGGCCCTTCCTATTTGTGGAAAGCTTTTATATATGCATATATGCCTTATGAGTTGTTGAACTCATCTATTTTGAACCAAACAAAAAAATAAAAATATCTAGAGAAAGGGGAAGGAGAACCGTGAGAGGGAGAGAGGGAGAGAGAGAAGAGGCAAAGCTTCTCCCTAAGGAATTCAACATCCATGGAAGCTTGAAGATGGTTGAAGAAGATAGAAGAGAGAGGAAAGATCAACCAAAAGCTTGGGAAAAATTGAAGAGACTAAGGGATAAACAAAGGTTTGGGTAAGGTATGTGGCTCTATTTACTAACCTTGTATAGAATCCATCTACTACTTGAAATCATGGATTGATATAGAAGATGTGAGCTTTGAACCCATGAACCTTGAATTTCTAAGAATTCCTTGATTGAAGAAGTAAAATCATTAAATTTGTTTATTGTGAGATTATGGTGTTTGATGAAGAATACTAATGTGAAATTGGTCATGTATTAAAGGGTTTTGGGCTTTGATTTACATATAATTTAGGTTTGATTTTTGAAAATGAGAAGTCCCCCAATTTCAGCCATTTTCGGACTGCTGCTGCCCAGGGCCGCACGTGCGGCACTGTTCACCCGCACGTGCGGGGACAGCTCTGTCCAGCCAACTTTGAATAGGTATATCTTTTTCATCTGGACTCCGTTTTGAGTGATTCTTGAGCCTAAAATCAAGCCCCGGAAGTCTAGTTTCCAATGGCACTAGTCTCACTCCCAAATTCTAAATACAGAAAAAGTTATACCCAAATTAGTAACGACTGTTCACGTTATGTCAATTAGTTATGTACCATTTCTTCACCTAAACCATTTCCTATCGATTTCTCCTGTTTTCTAAGACACGGATTACAACATATTAAAGAATAATGAGCTTGGTACCACCATGACTAATTGATTGAACGATCAAAGAGAATAAGTAAAGGATCGAGTATAACCTCATATTATGTGTTGTGCACTGCAATTGTAGGTCGAGACGAGGACACCATTTCCTATCGATTTCTCCTGTTTTCTAAGATTACAACATATTAAAGAATAATGAGCTTGGTACCACCATGACTAATTGATTGAACGATCAAAGAGAATAAGTAAAGGATCAAGTATAACGTCATATTATGTGTTGTACACTGTAATTGTAGGTCGAGACGATGACATTGTACCATTACCACCGGGAACCGATCACTGTGAGTAGTAGTACTTTGATGTACCGTTAACCATTTATCATTATTGATGTTAAATCTTCGTCGTAAGAATTATGTTGACATAAATGTTATGAATGCTATATGAGAAACACTGTGATATTATGGAAACTTCAAAAGAGTTTATGAAGTTATGTATGTTATGTTATGTATGTTATGTGAGAAACATCATGGAATTATGAAAACATCAAAGGAACTTGTGATTGTGTGAACCCCTCAGGCCAAGGGCCGGACTGTGAAATTGTGAAACCAATAAAGTCATCTATAATCTAATGAGAATGTACTTACTTTTCGTTACTAATTATCAGAAATGTCCTGTTAACTTTACGTTAATTATGTCAACTCATGGGAATGATGTAACAGTTACCATTAGGACTATGTTAATTACAAGGCCAGGCAACTATGTTAACATATAAGAATGATTAAACAAAGGTGCATGCTATTGATAAGAGAGTACGTAAAGCAAGTCATTTACCCAAAAGAATTTATGTTCATTCTTGAAGAATGAATTCCGAGTAAATATAAGAGTAGCTACATGTATCCAGATGAATTGAAGTTAATTTGTTATGTTGCTTATGAATTGGAAGTGGTCCAGAATCTACGATATAAGTGCAAAGTTTAGCATCATTATGTGACCCTCATGAGAATGTAAATTAGTCTCTCATTGTTAAGCGTACGATAATGACACGATACAACAAGAAATGCTTTAGTTATGATATGTTCCGTTTGAATTGATGAATGATGTTCAAGTATGTTTCAGGCATGTTTCCAGTATATTACATGTTCAAGTATGCTACAAGTTCACAATGTTGGGGGATTCCTTTATGGAACGAACAAAGAAACAATACTTATTATTAATTTGCTAGCACTATTACAGTGCCAAGTATAAGCAAGTATGAATTCTGATTTCTATTTATGATTCAAGCATAATGCATATGTATGAATTTATTTCCGGGGTATGACATTACATGTATGGTTTGGTCTGTAAGACCTAATGATTATTGGTATGGAACAAAGTGCTACTTGGAACTAAGTGCTACATTGTGAGCCACCACTAGAGTCCATGTGAGACACCTCTTGAGTCCATACATATGTGAAAATTATGAGGCTGAAAGCCATTCTGTGAAAGTTATGAGGCTCATGGCCATCTGTATAAGTTGTTATGAAATGAAACAAAGTGCTACACGGAACTAAGTGCTACATTGTGAGTTACCTCTAGAGTCCGTGTGAGACACCTCTTGGGTTCATATATGCATGTCCAAAGACTTCATGCCAACTTTACAAGGGCTTTATGCCATATGTTTCAAGGGCCTTAGTGCCATATGTTACAAGGGCTTTATGGCACATGTTTCAAGGGCCTTAGTGCCACAAGTTTCAAGGGCTTATAGCCACCATGTTTCAAGGGCCTCGTGCCACCATGTTTCAAGGGCTTATAGCCACCATGTTTACGTTGCAAGATTGAATATAAGGCCGTTATGTACATAGCACAGAATCAGACTAACTATGTGAACTCTACATCTTTATATGCATTGCTATGTGTTATGTTTCAAGTTAAGTATCGTTTTATTCATGTATTACTATTCACTGAGCTTGGCTCACTCTGTCTAATGTCTGTTTCTGTAGGTAACCAACCAAGTGGTCAGTCCTAGTCATGGCACCCGTTTTCTTTTATCAACCTTCGTGGGTTCAGGCACTGCACGAAGCCATTTATTTTTGTAAAGTCTATTGGAATGTTGGCTTAATTTTGATTACCCATTTAAAGTTAAAGAGGTAGAACTTCAATGATTTTTTTTTTATATAAGCCCAATGATGGGGCTGGATCTGTACATATGGTTGTTTATCACCGATGCTACAACATATGGTTTGGAGCTTTATCTATTTTCCATGATGAATGTGATGTATAAGAGGTCCTGGCATGTAGATGTAGCTCAATGGAATTTATATGTATAGTTATTTTCCTACTTTATGCTTCCGATGAGGCCCCATATGTTATTTACTACAGGTTAAGTGTTCGTTTTCGAACGGGTCATGCCCAAACTTTTAGGGGCGGGTTTGGGGCGTGACACATCATCTCCCGAACCAACTCCGAGCCCAACAAAGGTGCATCACCCACCTCAGCCCAACACACTGGAGACCTATACAGTCGGCCATACAAGCCCTCAAACAGTGCCATACCAATACTCGATTGGAAATTGTTGTTGTAGGCAAACTCCACTAAGGGCAAATGCCTCTCCCACGACCCACTAAAGTCAAGGACACAACCTTGAAGCATATCCTCAAGGATCTAAATAGTACGCTCGGACTGCCTATCAGTCTGAGGGTGATAAGCTGTGCTAAAGGTCAATCTGGTGCCCAAGGCACTCTGCAAACTTTGCCACAACCTAGCAGTAAAACGTGGATCTCTATCTGAGACGATCGACACTGGGACCCCGTGTAACATCACTATGTCCCGAATATACAAGTCGGCAAGATGATCTACCGAATCTCTCACGCACATGGGAATAAAATGTGCTGACTTAGTCAATCGGTCTACGACCACCAAAATAGTATCACTACCCCGTTGAGTCCTTGGAAGACCTACAACGAAGTCCATCGTGAGATGCTCCCATTTGCACTCGGCAATAGGCAAGGGTTGTAACAACCGGCTGGCCTCTAATGTTCGGCCTTCACTTGCTGACAAGTAAAGCACTTAGATACAAAAACTGCCACATCTTTCTTCATCCCTCTCCACCAAAATTGGCAGCTCAGATCACGATACATCTTAGTGCCTCCTGGATGCACAACAAGACGTGAATGGTGAAACTCTTAGAGTACTTCCTCTCGGCAAGACTCCGGCACAAACAAACGGTCTCGGTACCTCACACTTAGGTTAGGATACACAGTCAAACCCTTCTCAACCTTCCCACTGGAGATCTTTTCCGAGAGGGATTCTATCTCAAGGTCACCTCTTTGTGCCTCTAACACCCGATTCACAAGTGTAGGCTGCGCAACTACAGAAGACAAGGCCGCAGACTCAACAGATTCACCCAGAAGCAAATCAAACTAGCCAAGTGCACCCAACATTTCCCACTCCCAGTTGGCTACACAAGCAACATCACTAATGGACTTCCCACTAAGGGCATCGGCCACAACATTAGCCTTCCCCGGATAGTAATGCAACTCGAAGTCGTAATCCTCAAAGAACTACATTCACCTCCTCTACCTCAAGTTCAAGTCCTTCTGTGTAAATAGGTATTTCAGACTCTTATGATCCGAGAACACCTCGAATCTCTCACTATACAAGTAGTGCCTCCAAATCTTTAACGTAAAAATCACCACTGCTAACTCTAGATCATGTGTAGGGTAATTCCTCTCGTGTGTTTTCAACTGCCGCGAGCCATAGGCTACCACTTTCCCCTCTTGCATCAATACACAATCCCAACCTTCTCGTGAAGCATCACAATACACTGCATAACCCAAACCCCTCTCCGAAATAATCAAAACTGGAGCGGTAGCAAGTCTAACTTTAAGTTCTTGGAATGACTTTTCACAAGTCTCACTCCACATAAACTTGACCCATTTTCGCGTCAATCCAGTCAACGACGAAGCTAGCCTGGAGAAATCTTTCACAAACCGATGGTAATAACTGGCCAATCCTAGAAAACTGCGGATCTCAAAAACACTTAGGCTGTGCCCAATCTTGCACTGCCTCTATCTTGGATGTATCAACAGACACCCCTTCCCTGGAGACTACATGGCCTAAGAACTTAATCTCTCTTAGCCAATACTCATACTTCCCAAACTTAGCATATAGCTTATGGGCTCTAAGTAACTCAAGCACCACTCTCAAGTGTTCCTCGTGCTCCTCCTCAGAAGGTGAATAAATCAGAATGTCATCCACGAAAATGACAACAAGACGATCTAAGAATTCCCAGAGGATCCGGTTCTTCAAGTCCATAAACACACCCGGTGCAGTAGTGAGCCCAAAAGGCATCACCAGAAACTCACAATGGCCATACTGCGTACGAAATGCCGTCTTCTGGATATGCTCCTCCCTGACCCTCAACTGATGGTAACTCGATCTCAAGTCTATCTTAGAGAAACAACGGGATCCTTTCAACTAGTCAAACATATCATCTATAAGGGGCATAGGGTACGTGTTTTTAGCTGTAGCCCGATTCAATTTCCGGTAATCAATACAAAGTCTGAAAGCCCCATCATTTTTTTTAGCAAAGAGGGCCGGTGCTCCCCACGGCGAAGTACTAGGGCGAATAATGCCCTTATCTAGCAACTCCTAGAGTTGAATCTTCAACTCACTCAACTCGGCTGGGGCAAAATGATATGGTGCCATAGAAATCGGTGCCGTGCTAGACACTAAATCAATAGAGAACTCAATCTCTCGATGAGGTGCTAAACTAACAAGATCCTCGGGAAAAACGTTCGAGTACTCACAAACCAGCCTCGGCAACTCAGTCCGGGTCTCATCACACTCACTACTCATACAGCTAGCGAGAAGGCAACTAAGCTCACTCCGCCCTTGCGGATCATACACTGGTGGCAAAACACTACCAACCCGATCCCCCAAGAAATGAAAACAATCCCCGCTCAAGGTACATACATTAACCCTTTGGCAGTAGCAATCAATAACAGCCCGGTATGACGATAACCAGTCCATACCCAAAATCACATCAAAACCCGACATTGCCATTACTACAAACGAAAACGGAAGCCGACGGTCAGCGACCTCTATATCACAGCCCCGACACCCTTGTCTCAAAATCAATTCACCCCCAACAGGTGATACGACACAAATAGGAGATGCTAACTGCGCCAACTCCAACCCCAAAACAGATGCAAATGCAGCAGATATAAAGGAATTGGATGCACCTAATATCAATCAACAAATTAGCAACTGAGTTGCAAAACAAAAAGGTACCTCTCACAACAGATGGAGCCGGTACAAGATCCTACGCGGTAACAGCATACACACGCCAAGAAGGTCTCTGATCTACCTGCTCACCTCTCGGAGCACAAGACTGCTGCATAGACAGAGTTGAAGAAGCTCCTTGATTGGCCCTCGAGGTCTGAACTGACTGAGCTGGCTGATGTCTCTGAGTCTGCCTTGAACCAGATGCACCAGATGTGCCACTCAACTGGGGGCAAAACCTCTTCAGGTGCTATGCCTAACCACATTGCTAACAAGAGAGCGGCTGGCCTCTGCCCTGACTTTGGCTCTGAGGACGAGCTGAAGATGAAGCTGCTCTCTATTCTCCTCTCCTCTGTGGGCAAGCTGGAGACTTGTGCCCCAGCTGACCACACTTGTAACAAGTAAAGTCTCCCTGACTGCCTCTCCCAGAACCTGAACTCGGCACTAGAAAGGTAGATCTCGCAAACGCACCCTGGGATTGCTAAGGGTTAGAACCCCTCTGCCTGCAACCATCTCCCTGGCCATCCTAACTCCTCTTAGAGCCCCTCATCCTCTCCTCCTCAGCCTGCATGATAGTCTCAACATAGGCTGCAGCCTGCACAAGGCACCCATACTCCCTTGTCATGGACCTGGCCACTCGAAACTGGAGTCTGGTCCTCAATTTCTTCTCAAACTCAAGACAACGGCATTCTTTAGACGCCACCAACTCAGGCACAAACCTTGATAAACTGGTGTATGCAGCCTCAAACTCGGCCACTGGTGTATTCAGCTGCTTCAGCTGACAAAATTGATCCCTCAATTTCTCTCTAACAGTGGGAGGCAAAAACTTCTCCTGTAAAGCATCTACAAAAGCTCCCAAGTCCCTTCGATACGCCCACGCGTAAACTTCCACCACTGACCCGCATCCCCTTTCTGCTGGAAGGATGCCAAGGTCACCCTCAATCCTCTGTCTTCGATGCCAAGCATCTCAAACGTCTTCCTTATTTGCTCAAGCCATTCATCGGCCTAAAGTGGCTCTTTAGGATCCCCTAGAAACTCATCCGGAATAGACTGGAAAAACTCCCTCTTTAGAAAGGACGGCCCTGCCTCGGCTACATGGGCCTGGACTTGATTCTCAGCCCTAAGAATGTCCATGGATTCCCTCAATGCTCCTGTCATCTTGCGGGCTAAGGCGCCCATGGCCTACTGACCTGCTGGCTCGGCCACATTGGCCTGACCAACCCCCTCCTACTGCGCCGAAATTGCATCCGATATAGGCATCTCCTGCCTCCCAGGCCTACCATGCCTACCACCACGTCCTCGTCCTGACATCCTAATAAAGGTAACAAGAACATTAGCACATTCACAAATGTGCCGAAGCTATTTCACTCGCGTCCTAATACAAGGGACAACAGTAATTCATTCCACATAAGCACATAATCGCATAAGCACTTACGAATTTCATTTCTGGAGAATGACAGCCTCGTGGCGTTGCTAGAGTTCCGGTTAGAAACAGCATTGATTAAGTGCTTTTCCAACAGGACTCTCAGAAACCCAAGGGTCCAATCAACATCCTAGAAACAAAATTCCATACCCATATAAGCATGTTATCCAGTAAACATATAACATCATGCATAAGTCTCTAACAAGCGAGACAAACCCGCTGTGGTACTAACCACTTCCCACGTACCCAAAGTATTCAAACCCGGTACGCTCGGATACCAAGTTGTTATGCCCTCAAAATAATACATATCAACCCAACATTCATGACATCCATAGACATAAGAGAATAAAGCATATTTCCATTTATCAGAGTATTCATTACGAAAGTATTACATGTTGACAACAAAAGTAAATGCCCCACGGGCTTACAACTTTCCAAGCCAACACTTGGTTACAAAAAGAAAGTACTAACTCAAAACACATTTAAGCCCTTGGCTTGAATTTACATGTAATACCAAAAAGATAACAACAAAAAGATCTTTCAGCCTCTAAGCCTCCCAAGCTACGTCCTTGGAGGTGGCATATCACCTGAACCTGAAATTGATGTCCCATATAAGGTGAGCCAAAGCCTAGTAGAGATATAC